TATATATATATATATATATATATACTGATTTTTCTCAATTATCCACCAAATTTGGTAACATTAACAATAAAATGTCTTGATATATTGACTTACACAGGGCATACTCAAAACGTGGATAGCCTTGAAGTTGAAAGTCCGAGAGATATTCATATTGCAAGCAAACGCTACGGAGAATTCAACTGCCCAGCCAATATGAGGTCGTGCAAACAATTTCATTTTTTCTAGAAATGAGTAGAATGTAGTTTTCAAATCTGTCTTTAGTGTTAGTTACTGTAGAATGTAGTGTAGGTTACAATAACACTTGAAACCACACATAAATAACATTAAAATTTATTTTTGAAACCTTGTAAAGAAGTTTGATTTAATTTTTTAAAAATGGTGGTTAGAAATTAATAGTTTTCTTCAGTGTAACATACTATAGTGTAAGATAATTGCAACTTAAATTCTAAATTAGGCTGTGAAACTAAAGTACTAAACCTACAAAGGCTACAGTATGTCATATTTATTGTTAAAATGAAAATTTGGCAAGCTTTCAGTAATGTTTAATCTATCCTCACTGTAATACATCAGTATAATTTAGAAAGGTTCGGTTGTACAGTATATCTTTTTAAGTATGTTGTCAGATTTTAATCTTAGCTAAGATATAAGTTTTTATTTTATTATTATCTGAATATTTCAACAGGCTTCATGGCATGTGCTAGCTTAAACTTCCTTGAAATTATTTACAAATAGCATATTTTCTGCTTTCACTTTGCAGTAACTCTGCTAATAGAATGAGGATATTAACAACTTAATAACTTATCAGTTATATGGTTTCATATATTCATAAGTAGATAAACTATAAATATATATAAATATTTAATTTTCAAGGAGATCTAGGGATCTGTTTTTTGCAATCATGACATATGTTTATGTTTAAAAATTCATATTTTAATGAACCACAGAAGTGGCAGGAAAATACCTTTATTGGGTGGGTAGATTGGTAATAGAGAATAAATATTATTAATTAGTTGGAAATTTAAATATTGTCAGAAGTAGTTAAGGGATAAGTGGAGTAGAATGTATGTAGTGTGATAGTTGACAGGATTGGGTTTGTATTTGTGATTTATGAGCTTGATTGCAACTTTCAGGAGGCTCAGAAGGATACAGAATATTACTCTTGCAGAGCTTGCTTACTTGAGAATAAGTTTGAGATAGCTATGGTGAAGACTATGCTATTAGAGAATAAAATAATAATAGACTATGTGTAGAAGTGAAAGATGTATGCAGGAAATAGGTAGAGTTAGTGCAAAGATTACATTGTGGGAGATAAAAAAGGGGTGCTAGGTTTTGTATGAAGTACAGTAGTACATTATTTAGGGCTGTAGAGGCAGGTTCAGTTAACATTCAAGTACCAGTCTCAAATAGATTTAAACTTTTGGATGCTTGCTTCAGGATACAAGAAGATTAAGAGGTTTACATAGTGAGAACTATCTCATTAAGTATACTGATAAAGTTATTTGTAGCAAGGAACATAGAAAGACTAGGGCTAGAATTTACTCACTAGGTGCCAAAGTACAGAACATTATACAGCGAGGTGACAGTTGTAGTTGCTAGTACCAAGGAAAATTCTCTTTTTATAGGTGGGAATGATGTTGGAAATTGTAAATTGGAAGAGCTGCTTAAAAAATATAAAAAACTCGTTTAGAGGTTTAGGGATAGAAATAGGTATGCGGCCCTGTCTGAAGTGCTTCCTCAGGCTAGATGTGATGATGAATTACTTAATGAGGATTCAAGGTTTAAATGAAAAATGTGAATTTGCATCATGTGAGTTGGTTGAACCTGTAGGATAATCTTCAGGGTAAGTGTGAATTATATGCTGGTGATGAGTTCCACTTAAGTATGTTAGGTAACAGGATATTTGGAGGTCTAATTATATTCATTTAAGGTGTTTAAGCTTAACTTCCTTAGGTGGTGAGTGAACTTGAATAATTGGGAATAAACATTAATAAGATAGCTAGGGCAAATAGAAGACTAGAAATAATAAACTTAGAGCACAAGAGAGGTCTGTCATATTTAAAGATGAATTCATTTCAAGAATAAGCTTGGTTGGTATTATTTGAATTGTTGCTAGCTATTAATAAGGATATGGTTGCAAGAACTGAAGTGTATGTGGGGCATTTGGGGGAAGGGTGATAATTGCATAATTAGGTTTAATGTTTTGCTACATGTCTTGGAGAAAAATAAATATGAAATTTTAGTTTCTTTATTCCTAATTTTCAGAAAGCCAATTTTGAGACCATGAGAAAAGATTTATCATTAGTGAAGTGGGATAATGAGTTGAAAGGTGATGCGAGACGGATAAGGGAAATTTTTTAATATAGATTGCTTTTAATGCAAGATAAGAATGTTCCTGAAAAAAAAACAACAACAGGGAAGATAAAATTTAACTGGATAAACTTCTTAACTTTAAGAAATTTAGATTGACAGATAGTATGAAAGATTTACAAAACTATAGAAAAGATAAAGATTTGGTTAAAAGATAAACTACGAAATCAAAATTATTTTACAAGAAACAAATAACTTACAATGTTGAAACTAACAGTAAAGTTGTTTAAGTACATTAAAGGTATTGTCTTAAGGATTAAGATTTTTTCTTGTGTTTTGTGATTATAAACTTGGATTTGAGTTTTTTTTAAAGGATCTTAAGGATTGTGTGATTAATCCATCAGATCAGCACAGATACACTTTGACAATGTATGCACACACATTTCCAGTATAGGTTTGAATGGTTTTATGTATTTATAATTTTGAACCCATAACCATGGAATATTAGTTTGCTAGAAACACAAACGTTAAGGTAAGTAAAAGTAAGGATATTATAATCACCAAGCCTGATAAAAGAACTAAGGTAGTAATCTTAAATAAAGAATATTAAAACAGTAAAGTTCTTGAAATTATAAATGGTATTACTCAATTTTGTATTATAGAAAAAAATCCAACTGCATCTAGAGAAAGAAAGCTAAGTAGATATTTATTTGAAATTTAAAAAATATTACTATAAATGAAGAATTTTACAGAGAAATAAAACCAACTGGTTCACATGCTGGTATTCTTTATGGTTGACCAAAATTACATAAACTATTGTCCAGTGTGACCTAACATATCCTAATATTGGATGTTATAACTATAAACTACCAAAATTCTTGAGAAATGGTTTAATGGAATTTATATGCAATGAGTATACCTTAAAAGATAGTTTTGAGTTTGCTGATAATATAGAAGAATTAACCTTGGGTCATCATGTGGTATTTGCTTGTTTTGATGTGGAATCATTATGTACTAACATACAATTAGGTGAAACCATTGAATTATGTGTAAACTTGATTTATAGTAATGAAGGAGGTTTTGATGGTTTACCTAAAGAAGTATTCTGTAAGCTGTGTGAAATAGCAACAAAATAATCACAGTTTTTGTTTAATGGAAAGGTTTATGATAAAATAGATGGACATAGTATGGGATCCAGTTTTGCTTTTATACAGTACTGCATCATTATAATGCTACCATTGGGAGTCATGTGCACCTGAGAGTGATATAGGTGGGGGAGCGTTATAACCAACTAATTAAGAAGGCACTCATGCTGAACAAGTACGGATTCAACAAACTACTAAAGCAATTAATTAAACAAAATAACTGTTTATTTACATAGGGAAAATAGATATAAAAAACACAGATAAGATAAGATAAAATAAGATAAGATAAAATATGAATACAAACTTTCTGATATTTCAGAAACAAAGCACACTCATGTCCACTTAATTACTTAAAAAGTCTGATACTTTAGTCTGCTTAACACTACTCTAAACCAGCTGCAATTAACGACATAACATCTATATTTCTTTCTGATACTTAGCAATATCTTTGTTTTAGCCGTAAATAATTCTTGGAATTTCTTGCCCTTTCCTCAGTTAAACCATTTCCCCCTTTAATGACATAATTTATGACCAGATAGATGGAATCCCTACTTGGTCCAATGATAGCCAATAGTTTTCTGTGTTACCATGAATGCAAGTGGCTAGAAAACAACCCATGTGACTTTAAACCTGTCCTTTACAAATGCTATGTCGATGACACTTTCTTGCTATTTTAATAGTCAAGTCACATTTCCAAATTTTTTTTTACCTTAATTCCCATCATTTCAATATCAAGTTCACATCTGAACTTGATATTCACATCTCTGGGCTTTGCACTTGGTACTAAATTTTTGGGAGCCAAAGCACCACAGCATTATATATGAGAAAGCATTATAACTGATGACATTATAATGAGACAGTACTGTACTAACAAATGTGTTTATGTGTTATCTTGAAAAGATTCGGTTACAAGAATGTCCTAAAGAATTTAAACCATTAGTGTATAAAAGATAAGTGGATGATACATATAATGTATTTGAGAATGAAGAAATAGGTGGATAAGTTTCTTCATTATTTAAATAAACAGCATGGAAATATTTAATTCACTGTGGTAAAAAAAAAGACTTGTTTAGTTATTCCTGGATACCTTGGTCATAAAAACATGATGGGAAGTTTGAAACTGGAATATACCATAAACCTACTTTTTCCAGTTTATATTTCAGCTACAACGAAAGAACAAAAAAAATCTTATTAGAATTTTGGTATACAGAGTCAATTAACTTACAAGTAATAAAGAGTGATTTTCCAATGAAAGTTGTAAGCAGCATAATCAACAAATACATCAAAAAGCTTCCACCCCCAAAGAGGAAGTGTATAATGAACTAAAAAAAGACTTTACATAACACTACTGTGAACATGTCTCAAAAATAAAAAACAACTGAAGTCTTCTTTATCCACAAGAGTCACCCTAAAACCCACTGTCAGAATATGAAGCTATCTTATGTTTAAAGACAAAATGGGTAAACCAATTTTCATGAACAATATCTACATGTATAAATGCTCTGTGTTCTAGAGTATATATGCAGGATCTATTACAAGAAGACTAGCAAATATACACCTGGAAAAAAGTTAAGCACCCCCAAATATTTTTCAGGATTGCTTATTGAAAATAAGGTTTAATTTTCATGATGTTGAGCTATGTTCATAATTTCAAACATAATTTAAAAGGATGTGAGCGTTTCAGGTGTGACATTTAAATCAGGCGCGTTTTTTTTCCCCACATGCAACTTGCT